CTTAGATGCATGGAAGACCGGGTAGGTTCGTAGATGCAGCGGGACGTCGATGAGATAGGATGGGCCATATGGATCAACGCCCACTGTTTCTAAGACCTGCCATGGACCCAAATAACGAGGCAACAGCTTGGGGGAGATATCCTCCTCCCTCGACAACTCAGAACTGGCTACCCAGACATAATCACTAGTGCGGATGGGGGAAGGCCGCCTGTGGCGATTAGCTTGTTCAATCATTGCCTTTTGGGCTTTGAACAAGTTCGCCCGTGCCCTTTCCACATCTATACGGTAGCGTCTGTTGAACTCTGCGGTGCCTGGTGTCAGGTCTGACTTAGCCTTATCGATGATATCATCGAGAGGCTGTCGTGGTTCACGTCCCCAGTGCAACCGGTACGGACTGAACCCAATCGAGGAATGGACAGACATGTTATAATCAAGCTGTGCCCGAGCCATGTGGAGATCCCAGTCCTGCTGATCTGGAGAGATGACAGGACGCAGCAATTGGAATAAGACTTGGTTCATCACTTCAGCCTGACCATTGGCTATGACCAAAAGTCATGTCCAATCGTGAGTGCAGGTAGTCCTTACAGTAGGACTGTCACTCATCGCTGCAAAATCGGGGGTCTCTATCACTGACTATAGAAGTGGGCGGTCCATGGTGTGTGACCCACCTCTCTGAAAAGGCTGCTCTCACAGTCGGGACCCCTAGCTACCTCTGGCAAGGGGATGAACTCTGCGTATTTGGAGAACCTGTCCACGCAGACCATTACTTGACGCATGCCACGAGGGGTGGTCTTGCCTAAATCTTTGAAATCAATCGACACAGATTCAGCAGGGCCATCAAGTATGGGTAAGGGTTTGAGGAGGCCCAGAGGAGGCCTACGCTGGACCTTGTTCCTCTGGCAAAGCTCACAGGTTTCCACATAGCGCAGCATATCACTCCGCATCTCCTTCCAGAAGAAGGGCTGCTACAATAAGGTAGCAGATGCCCTCTCTCGTAGGCCTGACTCTTTTACACTGATCTCCTCTACTCACTCCTTTGGAGAGGAGACCCGTCAGACCATTGCTCGTCTTCTGCCTCAGGACCCGACTTATGGACCCATAGTCAGGAATCTGCAAGCGGATCCCAATTCTGAACCTGGCTATGCCCTGAGTTCAGATTTGCTGTATACTTACAGCAGAGGTGAGGAACGCTTGTGCATTCCTTAGGATCAGGGGCTCAGGACACTGCTGAGGAAAGAGCATGCTGTCATCATATACTTCATGGAAGCTATGCCAAAAAAGCAGGGCAGTTCGAGGTTGTGGTGCAAAAGCATGCATTGGATCAATTTTTCTGAAGCCTTTGGCCCGGCCGTGCTGCCGCAAGACTACCACATCATCAATGGAACCTCTTTGAAGTTTGTACATTCTTAATAGTGTCAATGCACGCCTTCCACGGGAGGAACGAGTGGGAAATGAACTGTCCCAGAAGGGAACGGGGATTTGGGAAAAAGGGAAGTGAGAGGTACAGGGATATGTTATCCTGTAGGCCCGTGTAGGGTGTCACAGGGAGAGTGACACCCCCACAGCGTACATAAACAGGAGGAAACAGTATAGCGGACAGGTGATAGATAGAACATAAGCAGGTTACGACGAGGAGTAGGGATAAGAGTAGTGGAACTGGTTAGAATGGGGTACGAAGGATGATGCAAGGCAGACACTGGAATTGGTTGAAAGTTATGACATCGAACGTCAGAGGCATGGGGGCAAGATCACTACTACCCAAGTGAAGGGAGATGGCGAAGAAGGTGAAAGCAGAACAGGTCAACATGGTATGGCTCCAAGAGATCAAGCTGGACGAAAACAAGACAGCGGAACTGGCATTGTGGTGGAAGGGCCACCAGGTGTGGGCCGAGGCGCAGGGAACAGAAGGAGGGGTCTGTATCCTAGACTGGTACTACGATTCAAGGGGCTGGTGGGTGTGGGTGGTTCTACAATGGGGAGAGGAGGCATGTGGGCTGGTTACAGTCTATGGCCCAACAGAGGCTGGGATGCGATGCAGGATGTGGGGGAAGCTGCAGATTCTGGTGCCGGACGTGGACAAGATCATCATAGCAGGCGGCTTTAACTCAGTCGCTGGCCCGACATTAGACTCTGCTAATGCAAGGCATGTGGAAGCAGACTCACTGACACTCATCAATGGAATGATGGGGTTGGGCTGTACAGGCTCATATCGAACTCTGCATCCATAGGAGAAATCCTTCACGTTTTGGGGAAACACGGCACCAAGGAGGAGCAGAATCAATATGATATGGGTGTCAACAGACCTCAATCAGGTGATAGAGCAAGTGCAGATAAGTCCGATGGCCACATCGGACCACGAGGTGGTAATAGCAAGCTACCTGGTAGGGAAGTTGGAGATGGGCCACCCTCTGAAGTCAATCCCAGCATGGGTTTTTATAAGGACAGAGTTCCGGCTAATGGTGGCCCGATTCTGGAAAGAATGGACGAATGACTGCCCACAGGACAACCTGCTGGCCCGCGTGGCAACGGCGATCCAGGACCTGCGCAGGAACCTGGTAAAACAGCTGCGCTGCAGCTAAGTGGCACATCAAAGAGCAGGAGAGGAGTACGCCCACAAAATGGAGGAACTCAACAGGTAGCACTACAAGTGAAATGGGTACGCAATTGGTGAGGGGACTTGGAGAATGTAGGCAGCACACTTGAAACAAGGGTGGAGGAGGTGTCAGTCAACCTCTCCCACAAAAAGTCCAATAACACCCTTGTAAGGTACTCGCCCGATGTGGTGGGATGGTTTGATAAGCCACGTCTTTTTAGGATAAGTGTGTTATGTACCAATGAAGAGTGGATAGCTTTCCAACCCGATACCCTGTTGTCAGAGCTCCCCTTGGATCCTGTGCAGTAGCAATGGTCCTCGGCGAGGCGACATGGGAATGTTAAGGACAACCATCTCGCCAGTTTAGAAGTAAAGTTAATCTGAAGAATGCTCAGGCCAAAGTTGACCTAAAAACGATTGTCAGAACCGGTGGATGTCACAATTGAATGTGGGAGTGGACAAAATGAGACAGATCTGCTGGTTTAAAGCAACTAGGTCCATCCAAGCCAGCGAAGGTGCGGTGGAAAATCACAACCTGAAAAATGTTGACCTGAAAAATGGGGGGTCGGTTAACCTCCTCTCTGGAAAATAGAGCATCGCTGCCTACCCACGAACGACTGGATCATAGTCCGGACTCTCTTGGGACAGGACCTCCCGTGGTGTAAGTCTTGTCAGAGCAACCTCCCTTCATGCAGAATTTGAGAGACTGTAGAGCATATAGTTCTGCAGTGCCCAAGAACAATCATTACATGGAGGTGGTGGGACAGAATCGGGCGACAGCTCGGAACTGCGGTCAACTGGCCATCGGGCTGGAAGGCGCTGCTGTATTTGGAATGGAGATCTCCACAAGACGACGTCTGCGGAGAACATGTTCAAGGTAGGGAGGAGAGCGATCTTCTGGGTCCTCTGGAGGAAGAGGTGCACACATATAATGGAAGACGTTTGTATAGATGAGGTGGAACTAACAGAGATAATCAAACAGCAAATTCAACTGGATGTAATAGACCAGTGGGTGCAACTAGCAGCAAAAATGGATGAACACCACACGAAAAAAGACATAAGACAAGCATTACAGTCGTTCTCAGAGGACTGGTTGGGGGGTTGGGGGGGACCAGGGGGCTGGATAGCCTACACTCAATGGAAGGGCGGCCAACAGCCAGACACTTAGGCATTGCCAAGGGACTACAAGCTCATCTTCGAAGACTTGACAAAGGTGGATGCGGTGGTTTCCCTTCGTCTACCCTTGGACTTCCCGGATCTCTTTCTACTGCACAGTCTCCCGCTGGTGGAGACACAGTGGTATGGGTTGGCTAGCAACCCCCCAACGGGCGGACAAGGATGCATTGTGCAGCGGGTACCTGAAAACAGCGCAAGGGACAGGTCATAATTCAGCGAGAAAAATTCTGTCATCAGGCGGCCCGCTGCGTGGGGCTAGAGAGGCTGCCTTTCTGACACGATTCTGTATGTTCTCAGCCGAAGCCGGGTAATGGCCCTGGTATTTGAAACAGCAGTCAATGTTACATCTGGGACGCTGGAACCGGTTTCCAGCAGGTGCGGCTCCCCACCAATAGAGGGAGCAACTGGCGCGGGACGTACTAGAGGCGGATGCTCGTATCACTCCGTCTGAGGTCTGATTTTTCGAGAGAAGAAGAAAAGTGTGAGGAACGAGCCCTCAAGGAGCCCTGTCAGACATCACATGTTCTGGGCTAAGGCCCCAGCAAGCCGAGCGCCCGCCCTAAGTGAAGGCGGCCTGAATATTCGTCAAAGGCCAAATTTCGACATTTTCATATGTGGGTATTCAGGCTCTCGCAGCACGCCAGTTGGTTGGGCAGACGTGTGAGCCGTACTAAGCTGCGTCGTACAGTTGGACGAGGCCTTGACAGTTGCGCCTGGGCACGTACACGCGAAGCAGGGCCGATACATTGGGAAGCGGGTCATCGGCCTTTGGAAAAGCAGAACTGCTGATGCACCTACCTGGGGGCCCTGCATAGATGCAGCAAACAGCCCAAGTCCGGAGACTCAGGCCGTGCCCAACTGAAAAGGGCCCAGGCCCTCAACTGTAGTCTCGGGCCTGGGCGCAGGGTTCGAGGCCCAACCGGAAGCTACTGGAAGCTTCCAGCCAGGCCACATGCAGCATCGAGGAGGCTGCCACTTCCACAAAAGGAGTGGGGCAGTCCAGGCCAGGGATTTTGGCCAGTGCACGCAATGCGGAAGTGCTGCTGCGCTATCGCTTGATGCTGCGCTGCTGCCAAGGGTGCTGACGGGGTGCGTAGTGGTGAAGTGGGGCGCTGCAGGGCAGTGGGGCGCAGGCGGCCATAGCCGGGCTGCTGGGCGCCAGGGGGTACAGCAGGTGATCTGATGGTCTTCAGGGAAGGAGGCGCAGTGTGGGGTAATGAAGGTCTGATTGAGAGTGATGAGATGATTACCTGGTGCATGAAGAGAGGTCGGGTATGGAATTGACAGTCATGTACGATCTGGCACCACACCGGTAGGTGACTTGAAGATGTCGGCGAACTCGTCCAGCAACCGCACCACCCGGGGGTCCGAAGACAAGTCCGTGGGTGAAGAGTCGGCTACTGCGACGGTCCGTAGGAAACATAGGCCGATTTCCTCGGGCTGCTCGTAAGCGCAAGTTGCCCGGAATGATTTGGCCGTCACCACTTGGCACCTAATCGAAGGGTGCGGAAGAGGAATAGTACACGCCACTTCGGCGCCGAAGGTGTCGCGAACACTAAGAGTCCGCCGGTGGAAGTTGACCGTGTGATCCGCACTTGCAGGCCAAGGCATTCCGATAATGATGTCGAAGTCCGTGTCCAAAATGTCGAACGTCACCGGTTCGCATGCATGAGGTGCGAAATACACCGGTACGGCCTCGATGTAGCGGTCGATATGTTGCTGCGTCCTTCCGTCCGCCAACTTGATCGCCGTCGGGTTTGCCTTCCTTCGAACTTGTGCACCAAGGCCAGCCCTTTGCATGAAGGCTTGGCTCATAAAATTGCGAGACGCGCTGCTATCCAGCAAAGCGCTGCAGGACGCTTGCCCAACTTGGATGCGGACATAGAGTAGCGGTGCGTTGTTGTCGTCGTACCGCTGATTGTGAAATTCGCGGGCCACCTTCGTAACATACGCAAGGATGTCCCCCACCGCGACTTCGTCATCCGTCGACGAAGTTGGTGGTGCATAGAAGGATAAGTATGTGTGGAGATGAGCGCATAGTGCTGCACATTGCGGTCCCGACAAGCGGCCCGTGGTCGGGAGAGGAAGCCATGCAAAGTCCTCGGACGTGAGCGGGTCCAGTACCTCTATGTTGAACTCGCGCCCCGAATCCCGTGAAGAACCAGTTGAAGACGATAGGTTGCCGCTGCCGGACGGAAAAGATGCTGCACACACGTCTTGTCCTTGAGCTTGAGTACCCAGCGTAGGAATGAGCCGGACAGCATAGTCCTCAAAGGAATAAAGGAGAGGAGGACTATCGACTTCCGCATGTGCCTCGGAACGAAGGGCGGTCAGCCGCGAAGTGACCGATTCCGGAGGCGTCGAGAGTGTCGTCGATTCACTCCCGGCGGTGCTCAGTTTCCCGATTTGCCCTTGCCTTTCGACGGGCAGGCCACTGTCTCATGGAGATCGCTGTTGCACCATAGGCAATAGTGAAATCTCGTGCGTGCTTTGTACGCCGTTTCGGAGAGACCGTATTGGGACCATGGGTCTGGAGCTGCTGCGCCAGGCCCGGGGCTAGATGCGGTGTTTGTCTTCGCCTTGCCGCGTCCTCGGCCTTTGCCGGGGTGGCCACCTTCCCGGGCGGCTGCGAGTGTATCCCCTTCATTGGCAGACACGACCTTGCTAGTTTGGTCAAACGGCGTTGCCGCCACGACCACGGTCACTCTTGGCCGATGCTGGTCTCTGTTCGGGTGTGGCGCAGATAAACGCAGGTTCTTAGCCTCCTTGTTCGTGATAATAATCTGTGCGGCCTTGTCAAACAGTTCCGCCGTTGTCGTCAAGGTGTCCTCGACGTGAGTCAAGGCATTGCTCAGTGCCGGACACGATCTTGAGATAAAATAGTGGCGGATGGCTTTGAACCCCATTTGGATGTCTGGGACGGATGTCAAGCGTTGGTACTCGGCAATCCAGTCGACACTCGGCAGCGTGCCTTGTTCGAAGACCATTAGCTTGTCCATTGCCTTGATCTCCGGTGGCTCTACTTGGAACCGCTTATGCCACGCCGTCTTCAGATCATCCCAACTGATCTTGGTATGCAAGTCGCCAGCTACCACTTTGTACTTGGACAAGAGATTGTCCAACCATGCTTGGTACGCGCCCCCCGACTGGGAGTATAAGTATGTGTGGTGCTTGTGTTCTTTGACGTAGTGTAGCTGCAGCGTGAGCTCGAACTTGCGGAACCATGGAATCGGATCTGTCTTTGTCGAGTCGCAAAAGATCTCCTGCCCGTCGAACTTTGGAGCTGTCTCGCGCGGTTCCGAACTCGAGTTGTTGGCAGCAGTACAGATCCGCTGCTCCAATTGTTGCGTTGCGGTTTGTTGTGACTGCACGCGGTCCTTGAGGGAGCCGACGTCCATCTCCAATGCTTCGAGGCGATCGGAGGTGTTGGAAGAGCTAGCATCGGGGGCGGCGACAGGTCGCTGCTCCAGCTGCCGGAGGCGGTCGTGGACTTGAGTCAGCGCGTCGTCGAGGCTATGGATGTCCTCCTGCTGTGTAATGCATGTTGCCAGGAGTTCCGTGAGATGGGAAAGGAGTAGAGCGATCTTATTTTCGCTATCCTCCATCTTGCCATTCTCGGCCTTGGCCTGCCAATCCGCTGCCATTGTGAGCAAAGTTTGCTCTCCGCTAAATATCTTCTCCCGCTGTTGAACTCGTTCTTCATCAGCAGCCTTTGCTGCTGGTTGTTGCTGCATCCGCCTGTTTCTTAGCTTCGGTAATCAGAAGCAACATCCGGGTCTGATAGGCCTCGTCCGTTTCCCCGGACTTCTGGTCCATGACGGCTGTTTGTGAGCACAAAAGCATAGACCAGGCCGGGGCCTGCTGACGTGGTACTCCCTGCTGTTGACGTGGCACTGCTGTTGGCTGACGTGGCCTGCTGACGTGGCCTGCTGACGTGTCCTGCTGACGTGTCCTGCTGACGTGGCCTGCTGACGTTGTCTGCTGACGTGGCAACTTACCAATGCCGCCGCAGGGGGTACCCGGAGACCGAGAGAGAAGGTAAGACCAGGKGGGGCAACAACATAGGTGGGGAGGGGTGGGTGGGAAAAATCGCCCAGATAAGGAGCCACTAATCAAAAAGAAAAGCTTGAACTTGCAAAAAAAATTCGAGAAAAATAAAAATCCCAAGTTTTGCAAGTTCAGTAGGTCTCCCAACCTCGTTTGAAGTGCGAAACTATCAATGAGAAAGATTTCGAACTTCAGACTGCAAATGATTATAGAACTGTGACTAATAGAATCCTAGTACTGCGAAAACAAAAAAAAATCCGAAAAGAAATCAAATATTCGGACTTACTCAGATGAGAGTATTCGCAGTTTGGAAAATGGTACTGCAAGAGGGATTTCCCGTACCGTTTTCAGGAAAACGAATTTCGAAACAAATCCGAATTTCCAAATACGGGAAATGCAACAGGAAATCGAAATTTTCGAAAAGAAAGATATTCCGGATTTTTAAACTCAGTCAGACCTTTCAAAAGGAAGTATAGGATTGTTGGGCAGGACAGAGAGCAGCTCGGCTAAACACGGAAACCCGGTGGGATTGGTTTCAAAAGAGCTACTCCACTCTCTCGTTAGAAGTGGCCAGAATCTCCAGGAAACTTGCCTCTAAGAGAAAACAAAGGAGACAAACTTTGGAAATCGCCCTGCAAGTAGCTGAAACCAATTTGAGTGACAACCCCTCCTCATCACTCTACAATGAAATCTTTGAGAAGACACGAGAGGAATTGGCAATGTGGAAATGGTGGGATTTGAAAAGGCTACAAATAAGAGCCAGAATGTGCGAATATGAACTTAGCGACTCAATGGCTAAGTATTTCTTTGCCCGAATCAAGGCCAACTCAAGAGCTAATACGATTGAAAGCCTCAGATCTATCACAGCCCCAGAGAGTCTAAGAACGGACAGTGAAGGGATGCTAGAAATAGCCAAGGATTTCTACAAGAACCTCTACCAGTCTAAAACCCCTACACCAATTGCACCCAGCACAAAAGAAGCAAGGAGAAAAATGCTCCAATATTTGGAGAAGACAATAACAATTGAACAGGCAGAGGAGCTAGACAAACCTATCACAACCGAGGAATTGCACCAAGCCCTAACAGGAATGAATAATGACAAGACACCAGGGATAAATGGATTAACGAAAGAATTCTAGGAGAAATTCTGGCCCCTTTTACGATCGGATTTATTCAACTATTATAACGATTGCTGGTTCAGAGGGGGACTAGGGAACTTACTCAGCAGCAGCGTGGTCACTCTACTGTACAAAAGGGCGACAAGGCAGACATTAAAAACTATAGACCAATCTCTCTGCTAACACTCCCATACAAAATTCTATCAAAAACTCTTTCCAATCGGATCTCCAAAATAACAAATAAGTGCTTTCATATCGACCAGACAGGTTTCATCCCGAGTAGATACATTCTAGACAACGTGCTAACATTGAATGAGGCGGTAAGGAAGATTAGGGAAAGAAGAATAAACACAACTATACTTTTCTTTGATTTTGAAAAAACCTATGATCAAGTGAATTGGGACTTCATGGAAGCATGTATGGAGGAAATGGGCGTAGGCCCGAACTTCAGGAAATGGGTTCGCATACTTTACAGAGATGCAGTCGGCTGTGTCCAAGTTAATGGATTGTTATCAGATTATTACCCGGTAGCCCGCTCAGTCTGACAAGGAGACCCACTGGCCCCATCAATATTCTTGTTTGTAATGGAGGTCATCGCATCCTTTCTGCGCAAAGACCCTTCGATCCACAAACTCCTTGTTCTCAACGCAGGTTCGGCTCATCGGATAGATTTCCCGACAGCTATCATCTATATGGACAGTCCCGGATAGCTCTATCAAAGAACTGAATCGAAAAGCCAGATCTTATCTCCGGCCAGGAGATCCTAACAAAGAAAATGGCATACCCAAGATTGCCTGGCATTATGTCATGAGAAGTCCACAGAAGGGAGGTCTAGGAATTATAGACCCTGGAACAGAGATGAAAGCCCTACAGACCAAATGGATTATTAAAATCTTGATGAATCCTGACTCTGCATGGAATAAACTAGCCTTGGACAGTATCAAAGCCTTGGCCCCGACACCTTCTCCAGAGGACATGTCAGGGCAATTTTGGGTCATGAACAAGGAATGGGTCATGACTACAGGGCGAAGAAATCGAAGGGGGGATGAAGGACTAGAGGGTTACAGACCTCCTACTCCATACTGGTCAGCGCTACTTCGAATTTGGAAAAGAATAATGCCTAACAAATCAAATAGACCTAGATCCAAGGACGAAGTACTCAGACAGCCACTCTTCGGGAATCAATGGATAACCAACGAGAACGACAACCCCCTTCCCCTGGAACACAGATGGCTCTCCTGGGTCAAAAATGGTATATGGAAAGTCGCCCACCTGTGGGATGAGGAAAAAAAAGAATGGAAGACGGAACAAGAGATGAGTTCCCAACTGAAAGGATGCCATAAACGAGGGCCTAATCTCCAATATATCCTCAACCTCATCCCACAAGAATGGAAGGCCATATTGACTGAAGCTGCACCCTGGAAACCAGGAGAGTGGGGGCTTCTGGTACAAGAAACGATTCCTTCCAGAGCCTTCCAGTTCTCTCACATGCAACAAAACTCGCCCACTAAGGCCACCTTCTTCTCCTTTCCAGTTTCCTGGTCCGCTACCAGTATGCGAACCATTGTCAACAATGGAATACAGTCAGAAGTCTTAGACTTCTTCCTACTTAGAAAGGTGAGAGTCCTTGGTTCCTGGCCAAAATCAATTTTCAGACCTGACACAGCGATTCACAACTTGGAGTTTGACCCAGCTGAGTGGGCATGGGCACATGATAAAACCAAGAATATCAAGTCCAAAATCCCAATTCACGAGTATACAGTCAAACTGGGATACAAATTGCTACTCAAAACCAAAGACCCTGACCCCATCATCAAGAAAAGATGGCAGACTCCGCTAGGACAGGAGGCAGACAAACTCACTCAGATTCAGTGGAAGAAGTTCAAGTCCATCAGACCAATCAAAATCAGAAGTCTTCAATGGCTAATCACGTACGCGGCATTACCAGTAAATCAATGGCTACACATCAGACGAAAAGGTTCAGACCCCAACAGTTCCGATCAGTGTACGGTCTGCACAGAAACAGCGGTAGAAGATATAATACACTGCCTAATACACTGTAGGGAGGCGACGGACTATTGGGCAAGAGCCTCAGCACTATGGGACTCCCTATTCCTGACCCCCTTCCCTGAACAACCCATCCAACTTCTCCTCCTGACTAACATCCCGAGCAGTTCCAAAAGGCAGAAAGGATTTGGTTTCGAGTCGTAAGGAAGGTGACGTTGTGGATCATATGGAAGGAAAGATGCAGCAGGACGATTGAAGGAGTGGCCAACTCACGCGAAAAAGTTTGGACTGGGACCAAAACGATGATGCAAGCTGAAATCCTCTGCAGATGGCGGAGGATCAAACAATCATGGACAGAGGATGAGGACCAACAAAGGAAGGCGAGACTGAGCTTCAGCAGAACTTGGCTGGTAAATGGTAAAGTGGCGGACCTAAGAGAAGACCGCATTTGCTGGAAAGACTGGCACAACTCAAGTTCAGGGAGGGGTTACCAGCAACAAACAGCGGTGGACGGGCAAAACACACTCTGACCAAAACTGCCACAAGAGAGATCGATGGCTGCAGTATCGGAGAGACGGTT